TGGAGCTGGAGCTATGGCGCCACAGGTAAGTACCGCTGGCCTCCGCCAGCCATCTCCCTCCACTACAACTACTACCACCTACTAGCGCCCAGCGCTGAAGACTACAGCTATGGCTATGGGCGCCCAGCGCCGAAGACTACAGCTAGCGCTACTACTACCGCCTAGCGCTGAAGACTACTGCAGCGCTCCTCCTGAGTGCTGCGGCCGAAATCTGAAGACTACCGTCCTACTCTCCAACTGCCTACCGCCCTCTTCTGCAGGGCGGGCCAGTCCTTTATAGTGCTGGCCCGTGCAGGAGGCTGGCCGTGCCAATGCTCCTCTGGCCTAGACCCTGCGGAAGCTTCCAGGCAAGAGCCTGGAAGTTCCCTGAAGTTTCCCTGTAGGGAAACAGACTGGGGCCTGTAGGCCCTATCAGAAGGAAGCTTCCAGGCAAGAGCCTGGAAGTTTCCTTGTAGGGAAACAGGTTGGGGCCTGTAGGCCCTGTCAGAAGGGAGCTTCCAGGCAAGAGCCTGGAAGTTTCCCTGTAGGGAAACAGGCTGGGGCCTGTAGGCCCTGTCAGAAGGAAGCTTCCAGGCAAGAGCCTGGAAGTTTCCCCGTAGGGAAACAGGCTGGGGCCTGTAGGCCCTGCCAGAAGGAAGCTTCCAGGCAAGAGCCTGGAAGTTTCCCTGTAGGGAAACAGGCTGGAGGTCCGGGACAGGCCCTGCAAGGCCCGTGTGGCTGCACAGTATGCCACATGTCAACCCTTGACACTTGAGGACTTCATCCCTCTAATGACCGGCCCTACGACCTCTACAACCCTCAAAATTGAAGGACTTGGTCAACTCACTTCTCCACCTTTAATTTTCCCTCAAAATTGAAGGACTTGGTCAACTCACTTCTCAACCTTTAATTTTCATCTCAAAGAGTTGACCGCAATCTGGTCAGTACCAGTCCTTGGGGATGACCGTACAGCTACTGCGACTTAGGGTTGCTCCACAGAGTCAACCTACCAATCTACTTCGTGCCACCTTCCTGACCACCCTAATTAACATCCACAAGGAAATGATGACAGCAGCTGAAGCTCCAGGAAAGAACTGACAACTTCCAAACACCATAATAAGACACATGCAGCACATACATGGCTACTACGGTTAGAAGCACTTCATTCCAATAGCTTGATGACGATCGCCACGTTCACTCCATGGTCCACACTGCAGGTAAGTTCCTCTTCCCTTGCCCTTCTCACTTCTCGCCGTCGACTCCTTTGCCACCAATCAAGCACTTTTTTTTTTTTTTTTTTTTTTTGGAGGGGGTCACCCACCAGCCTTAATCTCATTAGGCTGGTCAGCCACCAAGTGAGGAGAGCAAGAGGTGTCTTTGACTTCCTAACGGCTACTTTTCTCTGACATACAGACTGCTTGATAGAGGGATATTTTTCCCCTTCCCAATCAACTGAATAACTGTTAAATGCAGAACTTCTCCCCTGATCGCCAGGCCATGATGATTCTAAACACTTGCGATGCCACAGCAAAATGACTCTGCTTGGAGCCTGCCCCACTGCATGACAACACCTGGCCCAAACTGGGCTAAAGTTTGGTGAGGTCTCCGGAACTGCTCCGCTCAGACTGTGAGTTAGGCAGAGCTCTTGGTGACGAAGTGGAGCCGGAGGGTGGAGAGGCAGACCTCTCTGGCTATGTAATGGTACTAAAACGATGTAGACCTAGGCTAGCAAGGTAGGCTGAGAAATATCTCAAGCTACGCTACATAGGAGAGGAGGAAGAGAGTGGAGGTTGAGGAAGAGGAATAAAGCAGGGAACCGACATGAGAGAATTACCTTTGGCAATGCTGGACCTTCATCTCCACTTCCTTGGTTAGCGCTGCATCTAAAAGGCAGGTATCGGCTGGTCCGGGACTTCATCCAAGTGGCTTTGGCCGCAGGAGTCAGGAGAGTTGTCCTCCGGACATCTGCTAGTTGCAGGGATGTTCCACCATAGATAGTTTGCTACCAAGAGAGGAGAGAGAAAAGACTGAGGTTGAGGGATGGAGATGGGAGAGAAGAGAGGGAGATGAGATGGTTCAAACTTGTGTACTTTTCTTCTAACCTTCTTCATTCTCTTTCGCCCTTTGTCTCTTTTCACTTATTTAGTTCACCAAGTCTTGCATTGTCTCAAAGTCGAGTTTTGCATCATGAATGAGGTAGGATCATATCGTAGCTCTGGGCAAGGCAAACCTACACTGTGCAGGCACTTAAGCACTCAAACATCCAGTTAAGCTGAGGGAAGACAAAACAAAGGCGTCAGTTTTCTACGTAAGGAGATCATCAGTGTCGTACCTGGAGGGATGAGAAGTGACATCGGACAGACATTCAGCGTTGCAAATGCTGAGTATCTGGGCCTCACAGCAACAGATCCGCCTACATGAGCTGTTGCAGTTCCACTCGCTAACAGAAAATAACAGGTGATGCAAACCTGCCCCCCCTCCCTTCACCACTCTCTCTCTCTCTCTCTCCTCCCTGCACATCCGCATCAGCACAGGGGACTCTAGGGGAGGTTGCAGTAGGCAGTGCGAGGTGAGAGAGCAGCCAAAGACTCAGCAGGTAGGCACTGTCCCTCTCTCTCTCTCTCTCTCTCTCTCTCTCTCTCTCTCTCTCTCTCTCTCTCTCTCCCCACACACACACACACATACAGTCGCCCAGGTTTGCACAGTGTCAGAGGTGCCAGAACGAGGACCTTCGGTACACCCACCCCTGACTTGCATTTCTGATTGAGACACAATGCAGCAGACTGGCACCTAACTTCACGAAAAAGGTGTATCCAAGGCCCTTAACTTCCGTGTTAGCCTACACCGCCACTGTGATCTGAATAAAAAGCTCATGTCATTCACAATTACTTTATTCATCTCCATCCTCTTAAAGCATAAGATGCGTTTCAAGTCACGCTGCCAGTAAGACTCCATGAGACTGTTTGGGCCCCGGATCACACCCACAGAACGGTGCTGTGAGCACTTGGTCATTTTTTCTTCTTTTACCGTGTAGACCCCTTTTGCCTTTTTTGCCATTTTTGGCGGGTGTGATGCCAGGAGTCGGGCGTTTACGTTGACTTCTTTCAAGTTTTTTGTTGTTTCTTTAGTTTCCAACTTTCCATCGAGATAGTAGGCGGATTGAGTTTTTGTCACTTCCAGTTCCAACTATATCTGCGTGATCGGGATCATAATTATTATTGGCATAGGAAGGATATGACTTTCGTTAAGTGTGTCTTACAAATCCATGCTTCTTAAGTCGTTCTGCAAGCTCCTCGTATCTTTTTTTACTAATTCGTCTTTGTTTATGCTACTCACTATTAGTTCAAGATTTCAGCGTACAGCTGGCATGCAGGTGTTTCTTCTTTCTGTTCGATGGCTCACTTGTTCAAGAGGTATTTTCTTACCCGTGAATTTTTCTTTCGGGCTGTCATTTTCCAATCGTGAGGGAAGTCTACTCACCTCTCTCTTCAGCTGTTCCTCCTGCAAAGTGCGATACTCCTTGCGAATCCGCTTCACTACCTACGAAGCACAGACAGCACGCACACACATTCATAGGACGGAAACCAGTAGCGAAATGCCACAGCAGAATGAAAACAAATCACAGCATTGTCAGGCCAGCAATGCTGTTGCATTACAACCAAAACTCAAAGCTCCCCCCATGTGCAGGATGCAGCACAAGGCGCATCACATCCATTTGACCTTGCATCATTACATCTGGACTTGAAATAGGGAAGGCAAACTCAGATGAATGCACCAGGCAAACACTAAAGATAACGCAGAACCGGAGGAAAGAGAAAACCATGGAAGGGAGCTGTGCAGCACACCCAATCACGCATTGCCACACCCACACCTGAAGCAACATGGATAAGCTACACTGTGGAGTAGAAAGAAGTAAGAGAAAAGAAACACCCAGCCATGGACAGGCAACCGGAGCAAAATTTGCAAGAACAGAGATCTCACGGCATTTGCAAACAAGCGGTATATCCCCAGAATCAGCGCATAACTGAACAAAGATTGTGAGAAAACGCAAACCTTGCCCCCAGAAGACGAGGCCCGGAGAGATGGGGGTGTGGCCAGCAGGAACAGGGGATTTCATATGAAGCAAGCTGTAGAGACCGAATTGGCACATAACTGAACAAAAATAGTGAGGAATTGCAAACCTTGCCCCCAGAATACGATTGCCACGCCCAGAGAAATAGGGGTGTGGCAGACAGGAACAGGGAATTTCATATGAAGCAAGCTGTAGACAGCAATTGCAACAAGTGAAGAGCACACTACAGTGATTGCCTTTGCACACATGACATCATGGAGAGCAATGCATCTCCGAAGACACTTCACGTAAGACGTAGAGCAGTTTGTACGAATAGCTTGCCATGTACAAGAACAGGCATGTTCGCTCAGAAATTACAAAATTTTAATATAATCCAGGGATCCCAGGCCATAAACCATCATATCATAATCCCCTTGATCGCAGTGCATGAATCAGAGCCATTCACTAGCCGTTAGATGAACAATAAGAGCAAGGATGGCAGGTTTACTCCAGAGAAATTGACAGTCACGAGGTCACACCCAGAGAGCTGACCAGCTACAGCCCCTGATGGTTTGGCAGCCTTCCATTTCACAACTTGAAAAAGATTTCACATCATCACCTCTATTTCCATTTCTCCCACTGTATCCTTCAATGGTTGGTCGGTTGGGCTCTATCGAAATTATGTCCGTCTAGTTCTATTTTGCATGCTCAGCAGGCATCCAAGTCCATTCCTTTATTGCTCAGCAAGTGTCTTGTGCGAGGCATAGGCCTCGATAAGCCCTGGGCCCCTACTTGCAACAGGTCGGCCGCCCTAAGTGACAGCAGGCCCGACAGACGACAAGAGGCCTATTTTTGACAACTTCGCAACTGGGGAAAATTCAGGCAATTGCACAGCGCCAGTTGGTTGAAGGCGCCCAGGCCCTGGCCTCCTTTATCGACTGTATCGAAGTCAGGCCCCGGGCGAGATACGCAGCATAGGCCCAACTCAGACAGCAGGCAGTTGGGCACAGGTAACTGTCGGTGGCCCTGGGCCTGATTCGTTTGGTCTGAGGCTCAGCCTCCCTGGGCCTACCGGAAGCTTCTGGGCAGGGACCCAACACAGCCAGGCTGCACGCAAGCAGGCTGGCCACTTCCATTTAGGAGAGGGCCAGCCTACACATTGGATATTCGGGCTCTGGCTGCTTTGTGCGCAAGCGCTGCTGCGCTATTGCCTGCCAGGCTCACGTGCTCACGGGCGAGCTGGAAGGAGCAGGTAGCGGTGCAAGTGGCATCTGTGAGTTGGGGAACGAGGTTGTGAGTGATACGAGAGACATACCTGGTGCTTGACGCGTGCGGCATTGGCCGAGGTCTGCTCGTACTTGGGAAGCTGTTGACGTCATCAGCAGCATTGTAGTCTAGGCTCGATAGGATCTGCCATTCGTAGTCTGGGCGCCAAGCGCCAGATAGGATATCAACATTGGTTCTTCGTTGATGATGATGAGACTATTCCAGCATTGTCAATTATGAGCTTCTGGTGTGCTCTTATTTGGCGAAACCCGTGATGCAATTCTGCTTTTCGTTCGAGGTCACAACTATCTGGTCTCATGTGTATGATGCTGTTTGATTGCTGAAGTTCACTATTGCTCCTCTTCCTTGCACTTGCTTTGGCCATAAACCTTCACCTTCAGGGTTGTTCGAAAGGTCTTTCACACGAATCAAGTAATCAGAATAAACACAGTTTGTGTGAAAGGTACAGGAGAAGCTGCTTGGCCATTTGAGAAATGAATAATGTCGACTGAGATGCTTTTCCTTCAATATCCAAATAACTTGCACACATTTTCCCGGGCACTTAAATAATTGGTAGGCACTCTGCAAACAAGTCAAGAGAAAGCTAAACGGGAGGCTCACTCACCATATTCTGTTCTAGTGAGGGATCGATCAGGTGTGCCTCAATGAACGGTACAGAAGACACCACATCCTCCTTCGTAGCCCTGATATCCAAGATAAACACCGAAGTATATAAATTGTCACATATCTATCAACCAAAAGAGCACACTTTGTGAGCAGAAGACACCACATCCTCCTTCGTAGCCCTGATATCCAAGATAAACACCGAAGTATATAAATTGTCACATATCTATCAACCAAAAGAGCACACTTTGTGAAACACACGACAAACATACACCAGACAAACATGAGGCGGACACTGAAACCATTCTTCGGATCATTTCTTCTTCAAGCTCCCCCTAATCTGTTGTGAGTGCCAGCCGCCCACATCCCGCATGCCATAACGGCTCACTTGTGCGCTGTGAAGAAGAGGCGGAGCAAACGGGGAAGAGATAAACAGAGAGAAAATACGAAAGGACACAAAGTAAGGGAAGCCAAAGGGAAAGCAAACGAAAACAACTGCAAACAAGGGGAAGTGTGGAATGAAGATGAAAACATCAGAAAAGATAAAACAAAAGCTCAAGAATCCGTATGTCCTTGATGTAGACAGGACATACATTTTAAGGATGAGTCGAACGAGGACATGGAAGACCAAGCTGAGCAATCCGAGTACAACAATTGCCATGACGGCCAGCATTGAGCATGCCCATCAAACACTCCCAGCAAATGGCATGTCCATTGCACACCAGCAGGAGGGAAGAACGGGCACCACAAAAAAACACACATTCAGTATAACGCCCTTGGCCACAAAATGGACATATAATGTCTGGATGCAGGGGGCACCTGCAGTCAGGGAAGGAGGGACGGTCCTCTGCAGACATCGATGCAGAAACCATGTCATTATAATGATTGTGAGAGACACAGCGATGACTGCAGCCGAGTGTAACACCTTCTAGGTGTGCAAAGAAGAAGGTCGCAGAGTGTTGATACATTGTCCTGCTGCAGCACAGGGGCCGAGAAATTATCTTCAACATAAAAGAGTGTGTGGACGGTTTGCTGTGGCAAGAAAACAGCATGGTTCTGTACGAAATCAGCAAGATCAGTCATGGCACCATGGTGCTGTTGTACCACAGCTCCCAGCAGTCAGAGGCATGTACAATGGCCTTGTAAGTGCCAGATCTTTGTACAATGCAGGCAGAGATGTGAGATGGTGGATGGAACCACTACCCTGCTTGAGCATTGCGTAGTTCAAGTTGGCATTCCCTCATTGCTACTTGTAGGACCGCAATTGTAAAGCCTCCTTCCCTGGTGCAATTACAATCCTCTGCCTGTGGGCAGGGAAGATCAACATCAAGCTGAAGAGCAATTGCAAGGAAGTCCGACGCTGTATAAAGTGGGTAGTGGACAACCTGCAGAGAGATACTAGTTGCAGCCAGGCCACAGAGATCGGAGGGGATCTCAAGCTGGAGTGCTGGATGCTGGCTAACAATTTGCAGATCACCCAGACGGTGTTGCAAGTCCTGTGCTGTTTGCTGGTCGGTCATTTGCAGATCATCAATGTGGTCCACATCTTGTGGGACAGAGATTTGCGGTTCAGCCAAATGATGTTAGTCAGCCATTTGCAGAGCACCCAGATGGTATACACCTCGTGGGGTAATTTGCAGTTTGTGCAATTCATGTCCTAATCCTTGGACATTTGGGGCCGCATCCCGAGTGATCGTCTCCTGTTCTGCAGGTAACTCATGAATATTCGATGCTGCAGGGCATGAAACAAAGTCTCCTGGCTACCGACAAGAAGTCGGACTGTCTGCAGAGGGCATAAGAGAGGATATTGTCGTTTGGAGCGAAGGGACAGCAACGACCGGTGGAGCAGGCACGGCAAGAACTGGAGCAAAACAAGAAACAGCCTTCTGATCCTCAGATGAATGAGAATACATGCACGTCGTCGACGATACACAGCAAGAGTAGTGTGGCAAACCGGAGATGAGCATGCCTCCGGCAATGAACGAGTAATGGAAATCATGGGACAAAAAGAATCTGTTCGAAAGTGAGACCGAGGAGGAGGCAGGGGTGGCGACGAGGATCGCAGCCATCTGCGGCCAAGCACAGAAAGAGATGAGAGGGGGTTTGATTGGGCAGGAGTTCGAAATAGAGGACATGATGTTCTTTGCACTGGAGCACTGGCAGAGGCAGCCCTAGCAGCAAAAACTACAGCAGTGGGAATTCCAGCTGTGGAAACTGCAGCTGTGAAAGCTACAACAGAGGAAACTGTAGCAAAGGTAGAAACTGCTGCCCAAAAAAACAGTTAGGAGAAGAAACTGTAACAGTGGAGCCTGCCGCGGTTGAAACCGCAGCCGTAGGAACTACAGCAGCAGCAGATGAGCAAACTTAACTAATAGCGAGTAGCATAAACAAAGATGAATTAGCAAAAGAAAGATACAAGTTTCCTATTTGAAAAGGAATCAATGGAATAATAGCAAATTGATCTAGTGGACTAAAAGCCATTATGAATTCTCTTTTTTTTTAACGGAGCTTTTCGAGGACGAAAGCTTCATGAGGGTAAGGAAGTGGATGATACAGGGACCATCACAGAATGTGTAAGAACTATTGTGAGAGGAGTATGACATGTGGAGGATAGCGCCATTGGCAGGAGCGCATGTAGCAGGCCCAGCCCTTAACAAGGGTTGATGGAGGGTGCCCACGAGAAAGCATGTGGAGAGTAAGCGTTGTTGCGGCAGCTTGAAAGTCCTGCCAATTGTCACAGATTTGTTTAAATCTGGTCAACTGCCCAGAAACACACCCCCGCTGGTTGATGGGAGGGATGTCGGAGGTTGCTCTCGGATAGCAAATGACAGGGAAGTCCCAGGCAGCCACTTTATCAAAGACATTCTTGCGAAGTGAGCTATCTGAACGGACCAGTGGTTGCATGCCAAAAAAGGTGCTGTAGTTTCCTTCCACTCATGGCCGTAGTGCATGGTGGAGGAGGTAATTTCCCCCTGAAAGAACATCTATGAGGAGATAAGTGAAAGCATATATCTGAGCTGCTTGAAGGTCGTTCTTGTGAATGTCATCAATAAAATGTGCTTCATCCAATATAGCGTTACATTCAAAATTTATGGGCCAGCATTAGTTACCATTGGGCTACCGACAATCTGTTTCCGAATTGTGCCGTCTGTAGTGTACAGATGGAGAATCTTAGAAACAGAAAAAGTGTCCAGGCCTGAATCAGTTGTCCATTCGCCACAACAAGGTCCTCAAATTACCCTGTTCAGCGTATTGCACATGTGAATGCTCATGAGTACGTGGAAGGGTATAAGCATGGGCTTCATCAAAAGCTTTTGCCACACTATTCAGAATGTGGTCATGAAAAAGGTTGTGTACATTGTGGTAAAATGGGCAGTGCGAGGACAAAGCCACAAAGAGAGGATGTTGTTTTTGAAGTCGAGTGCCACTTCATCGGCACTATGGAAAATCCAACATCGGACACCAACGCGTTTTGATATAGCTCAGTGTCTTTCTCACAAAGAGTAGAGATCACTCCTTGCACAGCAGTGCTAAGATACAACAAAGTAATCATTGTACTAGCCAATGTTTTATGCGCAGGCCTTTCATGAATGGTACGGACTGTAGGACTAGGGCGCGCTTGCAGGGGAACAACAATATGGTTTTGTGCTGTAGGAGACTTATCAGTGCGGGTATAACCCCAATGGCGATTGCGTATTGCATGGCTGCCAGGACAGTAGCAACAGACTCCTGAAGTGGGACTGTCCAAATGGGCAGAGAGATGAAACATCTACCAATTCTTGCGGCAGATAAACTATGCCATGTTTTGTCCACAGGCACAAGGGAAATATGCTGTTGAAGATGGTGCATGGAAACATGCATAGAAAGACTGAGTGCCATGGTCAAACGCGCGGTGCGGCATTTAACGACTGTTTAATTCCATTTAACCCCACCCTACCCCCGTTCAATGCGAGTTCAACATCAAAAAGAGGTGCTCCCACCGTTTCTGGTTGAACGCGCGGAGAGCGCAGGGGTGCAGGCTCATGGCA